ATCCCAAGAGATCTGGGAAGTTTTCTTTTATGATTTCTCTAATTGTCTTAGCTCTGCTCTGTATCTGTTGCTCTGCTTAGTTTAAAATCTGTGGAACAAGATGCCTCTCTCAGGAAGCTCATCACCTCTAATCTCACCACTTTGCTGGGTCTAGACTGACACCACCTCCCTCAGCCTTCTCTGTCCTTTGATTGGTAGGCTGAAAGGTAGTGTTACAAAATCTTCTCAAAACCTTTCTTTATACGGAAGGTGGAAACTGAATTCAGCTTACTCCATTGTGCATCTGCCGCTCTGTCTGGTTTCAACTCCATGGAACAAGATGCCCCCAAACTAGGTACTCTCTGGCCTTCCTCCCTTCCCCCTTTTGTGTATTATCTTCCCCCATTAGGTTGTAAGGCCCCCAAGGGCAGCAACTGTCTTTATTAACATAATTAACTTTTTATTAACAGAGTATCTGGCACAGAATAGGCACTTTTTATTGGATTGGATTGGATCTTTTTTGGTCGTACTTTCAGGTGGTCTAATAATTCTTAAATTATCTTTTCTTGATCTGTTTTCCAGACCAGTTGTTTCTGTTATGAGACATTTTCACTTTTCTTCTTAATTTTCCCTAGTCTTTTTACTTTATTTTAATGTTTCTTATTGCCTCGTGTAATTATTAGTCAATTGGATCTGGTAGAATTTTTAGGGTATTTGTTTTTTGGGTAAGGTTTTATACCTCTTGTCCGAGTTGTTAATTCTTTCTTCTATAGTTCTTGTTTTCTTCTTCATCCCCCCCTCCCAGTACTTTCACTTGGTTTTTAAAATCATTTTTAATTCTCTTTAAAACTCTTGCATCATATGTTCCAGGAATTGTAGGTGAACTTGTGTCCAGACTACGTTTTTATTTTGAGGCATTGCTTGTAGATGTTTTAGAGTTATGTTCTCCTGGGTTTGTGTCCTGAGCATCCCTATCACCATAATAGCTCTTTACTGTAGGATTATTTTTTTCTCAGTGTTTCAACCTGTTTCCTAACCTGAGCTTTATCTCAGGGCCATCTCCTGTGCATTTCTGGAGTGAATTGAAGGAACTCGTGTCCTCTAGGTTGTTCCACTGCTTTCTTGGGGTATTGAGTGTTGTTTTATTCCAGAATCTCAGACACATCTCAGGATAGGGACATGCAAGCTTTTGATGCTTCCAAAGTGGTCTGATCACTGCCCTTTTGATCTGACCTGACTGAGGTCTGGGTCCGAGCCACACACCTATGGCTTTGTCCCTTATTAGAGTTTCAGTAGACTGCTGCTAGGCTCAGCCACTATCAGTTAGCTGGGAAGCTTTACAGGTTCTGAGTGGCAGCACTTTGGGCTTTTCTTTGGTCTGGGGTTCTGCCCTGTTTGTTAGGCTGAAGACTTCAGATTGCCCAGATGCTGGAACTTAGATGCCACTATGTTCCTGAGGTCAAAGCCCCATAGCTACAGTTTGGTGCTCTCACCACTCCACAATCTGAGGAGCACCCCTCACTGCAGTGCACCCTCAGATCTGGGTCCCAGAACTGGGGAGTGAATGTCAGAGTTGCCTGTTGACAGCTGCTCCTGCATTTTACACAAAGTCTTGGCCCTCCTGTATGGGTCTGTAGCCGCTTTTTGCCCTGGCTCACAGCCTTTGTCCTCTTTCATCTCCTTCCTGTTGGAATGCTCTGCATGGCAGGTTGCAGCCAGAACCCATCTCCGGTGTCCATAAAACTCTTCGCCTCCCTACACTGAACTGGGTTGGAAATATGATTCAGTGGGATTGTTTTTTTCTTGCATCCCCTGATCAGACCTTGGTCTGGTACATTTTACACTTTCTAGATGCTCCCGGAGGAGACGTGTTGGGAAGCTAAGCTACACTTCTTGGACTTTTCCATCATGGCTCTGCCTCGGGCTACCAAGTATTTGCCGAGCTCTAATGGCCTTGAACTTAACCTGGGGGAAGAACCTCATGAGTGCTGCTAATCCTGACTTCGAGAAGGTGAAGAGAAGCAGAAAGGCTGGAGTTATTAAGAGCAGGAGAAAGCCACTGGAACGGAGCTAGTTTAAGCTTCCAGATGTTGTGCCAGCTTGATCTAGCCCAGGGGCCTGAAAGCCCTGGGTTCAAGTCCTGCCCATGATCCAGACTGGCAGTGTGATCTTGGGTGAATGACAACCTCTTAGTGCCCCAGACAATTCTCTAAGACGATGATCGGCAGAGCAGGTGCTGAACTCCATTTAGAGTATTTGCTCATGGGGAATTCCTAATGCTAATGAAGTTACAGGTATTATACACACACACTCACTTACTTATATGTATCGTGTGTATGAGTATGTATGTATATATTTAAAAGATTTAAAAAGTAATTTTAGTGGTGTTCCCCCAATCTCTGGGGGTCTTTGAGGAGAGGGGAGATGACCTCTTGTCTCAGGGATATTATAGGGGAAATTCTTGCTCAAGTACCGGTCAATGTCTCTTCTGAGCCTGGAATGCTATGACCCTATGAGGTTGGTGGTCTAAACCAGACGCTCTGAAATTAGTTGTGGCAGTCACAGTTGATGGGCCCCTACCACAAGGCTTTTGTGAAATCATAGATCCCCTGGAAAATCAGGGACAGCTAGGGAGCACACTGAATAGAGCACTGGGTCTAGAGGCAGGAAGACCTGAGTTCAAATTCTACCTCCGACACTTACTAACCGGGGGCATGTCATTCGTATGATTCAGTTTTCTCAACTGTAAAATGGTGCTAACAATAAAAATTCTCTGCCCAGGTTGCTGTGAGAATCACATGAGATAATAATTGTAAAGAGCTTAGCAAAGTGTTTGGCACATAGTAGGCCGTTAATAAATGCTTATTTCCTGCTTTCCTTTTACACAACTGCTAAAATGACAAGGAGATAACATGGTTTGATGTCTCCTTTCATGAAATTCAGGAAGAAATATTACTGATCCTCTGATAGAAGGCAAACTGCTTGAGGGAAGGAATGTTTTTGTCTCTGGCTCCATCCCCAGTGGCTTGGCACAGTGCCTCATATATGTGGTGCTTTCTAAATGCTTATTGAGTTAAATTAAATTGACCTTACAGCCACAGATTTAGCATCATCAGATCACAGATCTTGGACTAGATTCTAGTCTAATCCTCTCAATTTAACAGGAGGAAATGGGGCCCAGAGAGTTTTTCAAGGTCCTGGGGCAGGAAGTAGAAGGAAAGAGCTCTCTCTTTGACACCAGCTTCAATGCCTTTCTCCTGCAGAGGCTGTCTCCATTGACCTTAACTTTATTCCCGATGTTTTTTATAATTTGATCTTAAAATCTCATTGTATCCCCTGGCTCTTTGCTCTACAGCTAACCAGGGCTTTTATCCAAAAGCAATAAAATCCTAATCTTAGTGTTTGAACAAGATGATCAGGAGGGACTGAGTCTGGCTTCATTCTGTGGGTAAGGGCCAATGGAAAAGGTGCCCGCTGCTCTTCCCGTCCCTGGGGAGGTCTTGATTCTGAATAACAAATACACCCTAGAGCATACTTGTTACACAAATAACTAGACCACGCCTATTTTTGTTCTCTAGTTATTAGGCTTATTGATAGCTATATATATATACACGTATCTGGGCCCCCAAAGCCTTTTCCTTCTGTATTCTCAGTGCTTGGCACATAACCAGCCCTTAATAAGTGATGGTAAACTAACCTAGATAGGGCAAGTGACCTAGGATGAAGCAATCCTTGGAAGTGGGGGGAGGGACTGAGTGCTCAATTTGAAAGAATTGAATTTAAAGGGCACTGATAGGACTCCTGATCCTAACCATTATTAGATTGCTAAGACTGTAATTTGCAGAGCAGGTGCGATCTGAATATTAGAAGGTGTTTCCTCATTGAGAGCTCCCTCCATGAATGGAATCCCAGATCTGGTCCCAGAATAGAAAGATGTACAAAGTCCTTTCCTTTAAACAACTCTGGTGGTTGCAGATTTCCTTATCACTGGTTTTTGAGGAGGGGCTACATGATGAGATGTTGTAAGGGAGATTCTCGCCAAGATGGGGGTTCATTTCCCTTCTGCCTCTGAGATGCTATGGTTCTGTGAAGTCAGTGATCCCAATATTATTATACACACTTTATAGTTGAGTAAGAACGGCACAAGATTGGCTGCTGACTGCATTATTAGAGGGAAGTGTCCACATCAATAAGCTCATAGATCCATTGGTATACAGCAGATGGAGAACCTGAGATTCATAAGTAGAGATCCTAGGACCTGAACCCAAGTCTTCTCACTGTGAGACCAGTGTTCTTTCCGCTATACAGCATTGCTTCTCTTGTGGATATGAAGAACCAAAACTAGAAGCTTGGAACTGAGGGAGAGTCAAGGAAGGAGTAGGTGGTGAGTAGGTGACACAGTGCCTTGGGTCTGGAGGCAGGAGACACAGTTGGCATCAGAGCCCTCCCATTTTTTCCCTGTATGACCTCAGGCAAGGAACATTCTCTGCTCTTGAGATCTATTTCTTTTTAAAAGAATTTTTCTTTTTTATGAACCTAGTCATCAAGAAAAAAACATTTCAACATATGAAGAACGAAAAAGAGATTTGTATGTGGGAGCATGACATTCTATTATGTACATCCCTCCCTCTCTCCCTTCCTTCTTCCTTTCCTTCTTCCCTTCCTTCCTTCTTTCCTTTCTTCCTATTAAGTGTCTTTTCCTCCCCCATAACATCTTAGATCTCAGTATCTTCACCTGCTCCTGAAAGAGGGGCAAAAACCCTAGCATTTGAAGTTGGAAGGCAATTTGGAGATCATCTAGGCCCATGTTACCGCTTTGACAGACAAGAGAACCTGGCAGGGGGGAGGGAGGAAACAAGGCGCCCTGGAGTGGAGTGGGTTGGGTTTAACAGTCATCTCTCTTTTGACTTTTGACCCCCTCCCAGGGAGGGACGCCAGGAATAAGGGCAGTTCCAAGGGTGAGCATTGGTAGACAGAAACTGAAAGAGGAAAAGGCCCTGTCAGTGGCACAACTGGGGACATAACCAAGACCTGACTGTCTGGAACACTGCAGACGGCTAGCCCACGTACAGAGGACTGAACGAACCTGGTCCCTGAATTTTTGGACAGGTCAGTAGCTGGGGTCGGGGTTGATTGGTGGCTCTGTGGGCCAGGGCCAGAATTGAGTGTGCCCTGTGCCTTCCCTAGCTGCAAGTTTCTGGTGCTTTCCCAGGCCAGGGAGGTGGTGGGCAGCTGTTATAAGGACCATGGACAGTCCAGGATCCTGGGCCCCCAGGGCAGAGGAATGGGTGCAGAGTGATAAGGCAGAAAGGCCTGAAAGAAATTCTTGGTACAGTGAAAAGAGCAACTTTATTTGGCTGTAGCTGCCATTTTGGAATTTGACCTTCACAACTTACTGCCTGTGTGACCTTGGTCAAGTCACAAAATCTTCGTGGGCCTCAGGTTATTTATCTGTACTATGGGGTGGATGTGTTAGATGGTTCCCAAGGTCTTTTTTCTGCTAAAAGAACTGGCAAAAACTCTTAGAAACTGAAACATGAAAGGGATCCCAGAGGTTGCTGAACTCCAAATATCAAAAAACCAAAGGAATATTTTTTGGGGGGTGTCATAGATTCGTACATTGTACAGCTGCAAGGGACCTGGAAGGTCATCTAGTCCAGTTTCCTTATTTCATAATAGAGAAACTGAGGCTAAAGAGTGATGGAGCTATGATTTCATAGGCACAGGGAGCTCCCTCTACTCATGCAGATGGGCACTTTCTCTTCAGCCTATTGTCTTAGAGAGCTGCCTAGAGTCTTGACAAGTTAAGGGTCACAATGCAGCATGTCGGAGATAGGACCTGAACGAGGACCTTCTTAGCTTTGGGACCTCCTCTCCACGTGCTAGGTAGGAAGGCAAATCTGGGCAGCATACTAAAAAGGATAAACATTGCCTTGCCAATAAAGGTCCGTATATTTTTTTTCCAGTGGTGATGTATGGCTGTGGGAGTTGGACTGTAAGGAAAGCTGAGCACTGCAGAATGGAAGCTTTCAAACTGTGGGGCTGGAGAAGACTTTTGAGAATCCTTTGGACAGCAAAGAGATCAAAGCAGTCAATACTTAAGGAAATTAATTTAGGCTATTCACTGGAAACTGTGTTTTGAAGGGGCTTAGGGGCACTAAGAAGCAGAGGTTTGGATAAAGTTCTTTCCAGACATGGGAGAATCATATGCACAAAAACATGGAGTCAGGAGTTGGAATTTCTTCTCCTAGAAGGAAAAAGCTAGAAGAGAAGTGTGACAATATAAAGAATGAGTTAAAAAAAATTTATTAAGTTCTTCCTGTGTACCAAGTGGAGGCAGCTAGATGGCTTAGTGGATAGAGTGCTGGTCTGGAGTCAGGAAGACTTGAGTTCTGGACTCTGACACTTACTAGCTGTGTGACCTTGGGTTCAGTCACTTAACCTCTCTTTACGTTAATCCACAGGAGAAGAAATTGGCAAACCATTCCAGTATTCTTTGCCAAGAAAACACCATGGACAGCATTGGTGTGCTATGGTCCATGGGATCACGAAGTGTCAGACAGAACTGAACGAGTGAACAAGCAAAAATAACATGTACAGTTATCCATATGCTCACTAACTATCTCATTAAATGAGTCAGTATGAAAAATAAGCAAATATGCCTTCTAAAGATTAAAAAATATCACCCACATGTGTATGAATATTTTCAAGAACATGGAGAAGCTGGTTATGATTAACAAAATCCAGTCATGGGGAAGGGGAGGTCTGTGACATTTCTTGATATTTAAAAGGAGTGCTTACAATAAAAAATGCTGGAGCCAGAAAATTTATCTCCCATTCTTTAATTCTTAAATAATATGACTTTTTGAACTTAGGTCACTTATCTATTTGGAACTTGTGGTGGAGTATAGTATAAAATACTAACATAATTATCAGAGCTATCTGATATTGGCTAAGAAATAAAAAAGATAGATCAATGGGAAAGAGTAGACATACAATTCACAGAAGCAAAAAACCATACTAACCTTGTACTTGACAAGTGTAGACTTAAGATTTTGGAATAAGAATTCATTATTTAGGAAAAAAGTTTTGGGAAAATTGGAAAGTAATATGACAGAAATTGGTCATAGACCAATATCTTATACCATTTACCAAGATAAGGTCAAAAAGGAATACATGACCTAGATATAAAAAGAGATATTACAAGAAAATTAAAAGAACATGGGACATATTACTTATCAGACTTATGGATATGTGAACAATTTATAAACAAGAGATAGAAAGCAAAGTTAGGTGTAAAATGGATAATTTCAATTACATTAAAAAGTTTTTGCATAAACAAAACAAATGTAGCCAAGATCAGAAGGAAAGCAGAGAACTGAGGAAAAAAAAATTATAGACAGTTTATCAGATGAAGGTCTCATAGCTAAAATATATGAAGATCTTTGTTCAAATTTACAAATACAAGTCATTCCCCAGTTGATAAATGGTCAAAGGATATGAACAGGTGGATTTCCAATGAAGAAATCAAAACAATTTGTAGTCATATGAAAAAATGCTCTAAATCATTATTGATTAGAGAAATATTAAAACAACCTTGAGATATCATTGTACACTTACCAGATTGGCTAACATGATTGAAGGAGAAAGTGACAAATGGAGGGGATGTGGAAAAATTGGGACACTAATTTATTGTTGGTGGAATTGTGAAATGACCCAACCATTTTGGAGACAGAGAAGGAAAATAACAAATGTTGAGGGAATGTGGGGAAATTGAGACACCACTGCATGGTTGGTGGAGTTGTGAAGTGATTCAACCATTCTGGAAGGCAATTGGGAACTGTGATCAAAAGGCTGTAAAACCATGTATATCCTTTGATCTATCGGTACCACTACTAGGTCTATATCCCAAAGAAATAAAAAGAAAAAACAAAAAGGAAAAGGACCTATAGCAGCTCTTTATGGTGGCAAAGAATTGGAAATTGAGGGGATGCCCATCCATTGGGGAATGGCTGAATAAGCTGTGGTATGTAATTTTGGTGGAATATTATTGTTCTCTAAGAAATGACAAGCAGGATGATAAGCAAGATGATTTCAGAAAAACCTGGAAAGACTTATGTGAGCAAAGTGAAGCGAACAGAACCAGAACAGTGTATATAGTAACAGCAATATTGTAACAATGATCAACTACAAATGACCTAGCTATTCTCAGCAATTCAATGATCCTGCACAATTCTGAAGGACTTATGAAGAAAAGTGCTATGTCTAGAGAAAACAAAACTGACGGAGTCTGACTACAGATTGAAGCATACTTTAAAAAAAACTTTCTTTTTCTTTTTTTTGTTCTTTTTTTCACAACATGACTAACATGGAAATACATTTTGCATGATTGCACATGTATAACCATAACAATTTGCTTGACTTCTCAAGGAGAAGGGAGGGGGAAAAGGGGGGAAGAGAGAGAATTTTGAACTCAAAACTTTAAAAAAGTGTTAAAATTGTTTTTACATGGGAATATAAAATATTAAATGAAAAAAGAAACCATGAGCTACTGTATTCATGTACTTTCCAGACTTCCTTTTCTAGACTTTTTTTCATTGCTTCATTTTTATATTTTTAACCAGCACCAAATAGTGTTCATGATTACTGATTTATAACATAGATTAAAATAGGATAATTCTAGGCTCCCTTCATTGCTAGGTTTTTCTTCTTAACCTTTTCTAGTAGACACACCCCTCTAAACCATCAAAAATTCATGTGCTTCACATGATTATAGTATTAGCATCCATTGACTGAGAAAATCCATGATGACAAAAGACTATGATTAATTCAATAATGTTTGAAATGATTTTATAACTTAGTCACAATTATATATATATGCATGTGAAATTTGATTACGCATATATGTATAAGATTTTTTTTTATCAGCTTACAGAAGGTATATTTGTTTCTTATATTGTCACTTCATGAATCACTTAATATTTATGGACATGAGGATTCCTAGACCACTTGTAAGTGCTCTGCCACTTACTGTAAGTCCTTGGCAAGCAGATGGGAAATTGCTAATCATATTCAACTCTTTTATTTTACAGATGTGGAAATAGAGGCCCAAATAGTTATTCATCCTCTCCTTTGTCTTATTTTTTTCTTTTCCAAGTGTGATTTTAAAGTAAATAGATGATTTTTATAGTTATTTTTTAAATCAATTTTTTCTTAATAGTTTAAAATATTACCTACATCTCCCCTCCCCTTGACAGAAAGCCAATCCTTTTCACAAAGGATGAAAAAGAAGGAAAAAAAATAGCTTAGCAAAATGGTCTGATTTTATATTCAGTATTCCACACTCATAGTTCCCTGTCTCCGCAAAGAGTTATGAGATAAGGAGGTACCTTTTCATATGTTTTCTTTCAGGCCAAGTTTGTTTATTAAAACTTTGAAGCATTTTGCTTTGATTTAGTGTTGCCATTTTTCCATTTACATTGTCATAGTTATTATAGAGATTATTTTCCTGGTTCTTCTTGCTTCACTTTGCTTCAGTTTATATGTCTTCCCAGGTTTCTTTGTATTCATCATATTCAGTTTCTTACAGCAAAGTAATGTTTTGTTTTATGTTTTTCAATTAATAGGCCTTTATTTTCTCTCCTTCCTACCTCCCCTTCCCATTGGAAAATAAAAGAATAACAAAATAAAAATAAACATACACAAGCAAACCAAATTTCACATTGCCTGTATCCAAAAATACATGTCTCATTCTACATCTTCAATTCGTCACTTTTCTGCCAGGATGTGAGTAGCATGCAGCATTATCAGTTTCCCAGAGCTGTGGGTGATCAGAGTTCTACGTCTTTCAAAATCATTTTCCTTTACAACGTCGTTATTGTATAAATTATTCTCCTGCTTCTGTTGACTTCATTCTGCATTACTTTGCGCTAGTCCTCCCAGGCTTCTCTAAGCTTTCCTCTAATGGCACGGTAGTATTCCATTTGTTCAGTCAGTTCTCAAATTGATGCCATCCATTCCTTTAATTTCAAGTGTTTTGCCGTTACAAAAAGAGCCAGAGTAGTAACGTTCCATCACATTCATTTAAAGCACTCGTTCAGCCATTTCCCAAGTCAATGGCACTGGTATTGATCCCCTTTCTTTGCCACTGCAAAAGTACTGATATAAATATTTTGGCATATCTTGGCAGTTTCTTTCTGACACTAACCTCCTTGGAGTTTGTGCCAAGAGATAGGATCTCTGGGTCAAAGAGTATGGTTCCCATCATTGTAAGCGATTAAGTACCATATTAAAGGGTTATTTCCTGTGACTTCCCACAGGTATCATGTGGACGTGTGTTCTCCTGAGGAAGCCCTTCTTATATGTGAATATCCACCTGTTTCCAAAACTAGCAAGAAATCACACCTGTACCCTGATGGCTCAGAAGCGAAATCAGACCTCAGTCCTGAAGAATTCCTGGACACTGCATACCACATGGTTTAGGGGAATGGCTGACCTCATACAAGACAATGCCACTCTTTCTCACTCTAAGAGTAGAAAGTCCAAGGGCAGTTGGTCCTTTCCTGTGTTAGATGGAAGTATTCATCCAGAACAGATAGATACAATTGAAGCAAACTTGAGAAATAGCGAAGCTTGTATTCAGAGGTAATGAGATACTCACTAATGATTTGCTTGGTGACCAAGGGGTTTGCATCTCAAGGAGAAATGATTTTAATTAATATGTAACCCAGAGGGCCCACATAACTAAGTTAAAACTATGTTTATTTGCCTTCTTAAAAGCTAATAATTATGATAATAATGATAGCAAGTACATAAGATCAGAGGGAAGAAGACCTAGAGAAGGCCACACCTGTTCTCTTTTTCCTACAGTTTACCGCCCTTCTAATACACTCCACTCCACTCCAATATCCTCCAATCTAACTCCAAACCAATCCACTCTAATCTTACCTAAGCTAAGCCAAGCCAATCCAACAAGTGTTTACTAAATTTATTCTATGAAAGGAATTGTGTTAGGTATTAGGGATACTAATGCAAAAATGAAATGTTCAGTTGTGTCTGACTCTTCATGACCCTATTTGGGGTTTTCTCAGCAAAGATGCTGGAATGGTTTGTTACTTCCTTCTCCAGCTCATTTTACAGATGAGGAAACCAAGGCAAATAGGGTTAAGTGACCTGCTCAGGGTCACACAGCTAGTAAATGTCTGAGGCTGGATTTGAACTCAGGTCTTCCTGATCCAGGCCCATGGTTTTATCCACTGTGCTACCTAGGCACCCTGTATTAGCCTTAGGGATACTAAGGCAAAAATGAAATAAGTCCTGCCTTCTAGGAGCTTCCAGTCTATGGGGGGATACTACAATTACATAGACAAATATATATATATATATATATATTATATGTGTGTGTATGTATGTGTATATATATATGTATGTATGTATATGTATGTGTATGTATAGGTGTGCATATATATGTATGTATGTATGTATATAACCAAAGGAGGAAGGAGAGAGTGGTAATAACTGTAGGGAATGGCAAAGGGCTTCCTGAAGGAGGAAGAAAATGAAACTGAAAGAAGCTGAGAATCATACAAGATGGCGGTGAGGAAGAAGACCATTCTGGAGATTCAGTAGAGCTCATGAAAAGGTAGGAGATGGGAGGCTAAGTTTGAGGAAAATGAATTAAGGTCAATCTCACTGGAAGGTGGTCTGTGGGAAAGCTCAAGAAAGCAGATCGTGAAAGACTTTAAGCAGCAATTAGAAGTTTGAATTTTGTTCTAGAGATAATAGGGAGCCATTGAAGATTCTTGAGAAGGCGAGAGCCATGGCCAGACTTATGTCTTGGGAAGATTCTTTTGTCGCCTGTGCGGAGGACATCAACATTCCCTTTGGCTTCCTCCATGGAGCAGTCCATCAAGGCTGGCTTTTCCTTGCGTGCCACGAGCCATCTATTTTCCAAGTGTTGCACTGGCTCTTCTTCCTTTGAAAACTCTCTCTCCTGATCATTGCCTCTCAGAATTTCTTGTTCCCTTCAGAGCTGAACTCAGCATCACCTTTACATGAAGCTACCAGTGCCTTCTTTCATGAGCTATTTATTTTGTGTATGGTCTCTATTCCTCGTATAAGTACGTGTCATCTTGCTGATAGGATGTAAGCTCCCTGGGGGCAGGGACAATTTCACTTCAGTCTATCTCCAACACATGGCACAGAATTCAAGATGTAGCAGGCACTTAGTAAAGTCTTGTTGCTATTGATTGATGGATTGGAAAGGGGAGAGACTGAAAGCCTGGAGTCCAATGAGCAGGATGCTGCATACAGATGGATGAGGAGTACCAAGGGGATGGACTAGGGTGGTCAGGTGACTGCAGGAGTGAGTGAGTGGAGACAAGGGGGATGGATTTGAGAGATGGGAAGGTGCAATTGACCAGACTTGGTAGTGGATTGGTTTTGGAGGATGAGGGAGAGGAAATGGGCCTGAGATGACAGATTCCAGGATTGAGTGAGCAGTTGGCATCCTAGGGTGGTGGAGAGTCTCCATGTCTTGTGTGGAACCTGTTGGAATCACACATAGTTCATTGACTGATAATTATTCTCCACACAGGCTGAAAATGTCTGGTTCTTATGGGTAAACCTGTGAAATTGCTAGGAAAGAGAGAGACAGAGAGAGACAGACAGACAGACACAAAGAGAGAGATAGAGAGAGAGACAGAAAGAGACAGAGAGACAGAGACAGAGATAGACAGAGAGAGACAGAGAGACTGAGAGTGACAGAGGCAGAGAGAGACAGAGAGACAGAGAAAGAGAAAGACAGAGACACAGACAGATAGAGACACAGACTCACAGAAAGACAGACACACAGAAAGACAGTGACACAGAGATAGAAAGACACAGACAGATATAGAGAGGGCTTGACAGAGATGGACACAGAGAGTCAGAGATAGACACACACACACACACACACAAAGACAGAGACAGGCAGGGATGATTTTTTTAAAGAACCAAACAAAAATTCATTTTTCAATTTTTTTCAATTAATAAGCATTTTATTTGCTCTCCCTCTTCCCCTCCATTGGACACATATCACATCACATACACATATACTCTTTGCAACAAATATGCATAATCAAAACAAATTGCCCCATTGGCCATGTCCAAAAACGTGTATCTCATTCAGTCCTCCCCCTCTCTATCGGGAGGGGGGGTGGCATCCTTCATCATGGGTCCACTGGAATAATTTATCAGCATTCTTAAGTCTTTAAAGTTATTGGCCTTTACAATGTTGTTGGTATCATAGAAATTGTTCAGGTCTGCTCACTTTACTTGGCTTCAAGGTTTCCCAGGAGGGGGAGGAGAAGGGGAAAATTTAGATGATGTCAAAATAAAAAAAATATAAATGCAATTTTAAAAATTATAAAAATAAGGTGCTATGTAAACAGCAAAAAGGGGAAAGGAACCAACCCAAATTCAGGAGAAATTGCAATGCCTTAAAGGACCTGTCTCAACCTAAGCAGAAAGAAAGCCCATTTGAACTTGCAAGAAGATGAATAGTAAGTCCCATTTATTTAGCACTTTAAGGTTTGCAAAGCATTTTCTATGTTATTTCATTGGAGACTCACAACAATTTTGTGTGTCAGAGGGTATTATTATCCCATTTTATAGATGTAGAAACTGTAAGGCTAGGAAACTGTGATTTACTCTGGGTCATCTAGCTACTAGTGTCAGAGGTAGACTTTGGACTCAGGTCTTCCTACCTCTAAGGCCAGCACTCTATCCACTGTGCCACACTGCCTCTCCATTTCTAATAGATTCTCTTTCTCTAGCTGTTTTGATTTTATTACTATGGGTGACATAGGTATTATTAGCATTATCCCCATTTTATAGATGGACAAACTGGGACTCAGAAAGGGGAATGTAACTATCTAAAGTCATACATTTACTAAGTGCTGGAGACAGTGGGTTCAAGCTTAGCACTCTTTGTATTAACACTCCAATGTTAAACCATGCTATTAAAAAAATAAGAAAGCAAGTGTTTATTGATGTCTTGTTTTTCAATCATCATTGTTTCCCCAGTATCCCTTCTACCCCCTCCAGAGAACCATCCCATATAACAAGGTTTTGTAAACAAACAAAAAAGATGAGATAACTTTTCAGTTACAAGTGATCAGTTATCTATTTTATCTTTTGTAATCACCTCTATGCTTTGTATAGTTAAGAACACGTCTACTCATAACTGTGAGAGACATGTGATCTGCTTACCTTCCAATTGTTTTGTGGTATGATCTTTGGTATTAAGGCTATATATCCACTTAGATTGTATTGTGGAATGTGGTTTAAGATGTTGATCTAAACCTAATTTCTACTAGACTACTTTACACTTTTATTAGCAGTTTTTATCAAGTAGGGAATTCTTTCCTAAGGAACTTATGTTTTCTGTTTTATTGAAATGCTGAATTGTTGAGTGCCATTTTTTCTGATTGTCCCTCATCTGATCTGTTCCATTGATCTACCTCTTTATTTTTCAATCAATGCCAAATTATGCTGATGATTGCAGCTTTATAATGTAGTTTGACATCTGGGAATGCTGTTCTTCCTTCATCTCTATTTCCAGTCATAATTTCCCTTTATATACTAGATCTGTTATTTTTCCAAGTGAATTTTCTTATTTTATTGATTTTCGTAAAGTACCCCTTTGACAATTTGATTGGTGTAGCATTAAAAGCGTAAGTAAGTTTTGGTAGTATTGTCAGTTTTATGATATTACCATGGTTCATCTATGAATACTGCATATTCTTCTAGCTGTTTAAGTTGTTCTATATTTCTTTAAGGAGCATTTTATAATTGAATCTGTACAAGTCTTTTTGTGTCTTGATAGATTAATTTCTAGATACATTTTGTTGATATTCAAATGGAATTTCGCTTTCTATTATTTCTTCTTGGATTTTGTTTTTATTATGTTGAAATGCTGTTGATCTTTGAGGTCTTTTTCTCTTTGCTGCTGATAACTTTGCTGAAACTCTTAATTGTCTGAAATGGTATTTTTGCTGATTCCTTAGAATTTTCTAAGTAAACCATCATATCATTAGCAAAAAGAGATAGTTCTCTCAACTCTTTACCTTTTTTTACTTCTGTAATTTCTTTGTCTCATCTTTTTTTTCTTTAGTTTTTCTTTTTTCTTTTGTTTTTGCTATTGCTAGCGTTTCCAGAAACATGTCAAATAATAGTGCGGAGGATGGGCATCCTTGCTTCACTCCCATGTTTATTGGGAAAGGGTGGAGCGTATCATTGCATGTGATGCTTATTTTGTACTTTGTCAAAGGCTTTTTGTGTGTCAATTAGGATAATCATGTGATTTTGGATGTTTTTGTCTTAGATATGATTATGTTTTTTCCCCTAGTGTTGAACCATCCTGTATCCTGTGTATAATTCCAGTCTAGTCATAATGAAGGATGTCTTGAATGAATCTCCATAGTCTGTTTAATATTCATTAATATTTGTCTATAGTTTTCCTCTGCTTTATCCTTCTGAGACTTAGGTATTGGGACTGTATGCATCATATAAATGGATTTTGATGAGTGTTTTATTTTTCAGTTTTTGAGAATAATTTGTGTGGTTTTGAAACTAATTGGTTTTTTTTTTTTTAGTTTTATAGA